TTTAAGCTCTCATCCTAACCTTACAAAAAAGAAAGAAAGGAAAAAAAAAGAAGAATCACAGGGCTGGGCTGGGGCTGACATGTAGCTCTCTATTTCAGAGGAACCTCAACTTCTCTGCATTTGTGTCTCTTTATCTGTATAGTGGGCATAATAATACCTGTCTCAACTATGAAACAAGAACATGTGACTAGCAAGTGGGAGGACATGTGCAAAAATTAACCTCTTCAGTGGCATCATCACTATCTCTCCTCTCAAATCTCTCCTCAACTAGGTACAAGACTAGTTGCATGCCTCCAGGGCCCAGGTCCTTTCATGCTTTTCTATGGCCACATCCTCTTACTTGCCCACCCTGTAAATATTATTTTATTTGTCTATGCTGCCATCCCATTTTATTTTTTCTGTTTCTCTCCTGTTTTTAGCTCAAATGAACAAATAGCTTATCAGTATTTACAATCTATTTAGGAATAATTTTTTAAAGCCACATATAATTCCATTCCTGTGTGAAATTAAAATGCCTATTCTAATTCTTTCTTAAATTGGAACCATGTGAAATTTTCTTTAAAACCTATTAATCATATTTACATCGTATTTTTAAAAATTAAGCTTTGTTATTAATCATATTTACAAATAGAAAGCTTAATTTTAATATTTTTATATATTCACTATAGTTACTGATTTCCTCTTTGCTCTAACTGCCCTCTTTTGAAATTGCCCCTACAAAAACACCTTTAGTGTTTATAGAAATAGAGAAGGATAAGTAGAACCAATTCCCCAAACTCCTAAAAATTTTTGTAGGAAAAAATATCTCCTTCACACTGTCCACACCAACTCAGTACTATGAAAACATTTTTTTCCTTTCATCTCTACAATGTGAAGAAAAAATAAAAATTGAAAGTTTGGTTCCCACATTACTTCAAGAATATAATTTTTTTGTTAGATAAGGATCCCAAAATACTTCCTACAACATAGCCCCTACTGTTCCTTGTTTAGTCCAGATTATTGTTTTAAAGAAAGCAAATTAAACAAAGGTATTGGTAACACTGGACTGGAGTTCTCTGATGCAAAATTATAGATCTCTGGGGATCTTTCAAATATGTCTTACCTAGTTGCTATTTATCATCAAACATACCCAAATGTTTGTAGTGTGTGAATATTTTAAAACAAACCTAGCATAGTGTCTGAGTACAGAGTTAAGTCAATAGTTTGCAAACATCCCTTTGTTTCTTTATATGCATTTAGCTACTGCTATACCTTTTTCAATGAATGAAGCAGATCTGAGCACAAACAATAAAAGAAAGCAAAAATTACCAGGTTTGGACTTCACTTCACAGCTGGAAAGATTCTGTTGAGGCTGCCAGCAGGGGATCTTGCGTATTAATACCCTACCTGGAAGAGCTGACATGTTGAAAATGAGATTAACACCTTCCTGTTTTACATTAACTAAGGCTAAAGTGTCATTTGCCTTATCAGGAGAAAAAATTTAATACTGAAATGATGGGGTTGCAAACAAGGTATGGCTCTAAGAAAATGTTAAAATATGAGGTAGGGGTTTTGTGGTGGTGGTAGTGATTCTTTCAAGATAAATACCTGCACAAATAAAAGCCAGAATTATCAGGATAACTCAAAAGCTGAACATAAACACATGTAGCACAACAACTCCTTTTCAGGCCAATGCTAATTGACACAGTAAATAACTTGTCAGACTGCTTAAAAAATAAAAATAAATGAATACACTATGTCAAAGAGTACTGATGCTTAGGTATTTGTTGCCAATTCCAGACTAGCCTAGAAAGAGAAGAGCTAATATAAATGATTTATTCATTCAGATATAAGATAGCACTTTTTAATTCTCTCACTTCACAATTCATCTAGTTACATATTTACTAAAGATGAGCATTTAGATGAAAAAAATATTAAAAATTCTAATGTGAGGAAGCCTCAAAATCATTGTCATGTATAAGTGGGAATGAGGTGGGAGAAGAGGGCCAGGAGTGGCTTGACATCTCCCTCATCCAGACATGCTCAAAACAGGTACTAGTGGCCTTTTCTCAGGCTCAGAAAGCTGAGATATCATCCATACGTACATCATCTTCAGTTGATAGAGTCACTCTGCTGTGCCAGGCCCTCTTGTAGGAGTGACAGAGAAACCAGAAGGACAGATAAGTTCTTTGTGCTCCAGGCCTCCTGGCCTGGGTGCAGACAGACATCAACAGTGGCCAGAATACAAAACCAACTCCAGTGGGTGAGACAGGAAAGACATAAACATCCTCACTAGGAGCCCTGGGGGAGGGAGAACAACTCTTTGGGTGGATCTGGGAAAATTTCCTAGAGGAGATGTGGTGTAAGTTGGATCCCACAGAATGGGTAGGGTTTTAACAGGTGGGAAGGAAAAATGGTGGAGAGGACTCTCTAGGGAGAATGGACCAATTCATCATATTTTGACACCACGATCACATGGAGAATTATGGTGTAATAGACACCCAAAATATATCAGTGAAAAATATGTTGTTATGGAGATTATAGTCAGTAATCCACTTTTTTGGGGGGCGGGGATGGAATGTCGCTCTGTCACCCAGGCTGGAGAGCAGTGGCGTGATCTCCACTCACTGCAACCTCCGCCTCCTGGGTTCAAGCGATTCTCCTGCCTCAGCCTCCCTAGTAGCTGGGACTACAGGCATGCACCACCATGCCCTGCTAATTTTTGTAGTTTTAGTAGAGACGGGGCTTCATCCTGTTGGCCAGCGTGGTCTTGATCTCTTGACCTCATGATCCGCCCACCTCAGTGTCCCAAAGTGCTGGGATTATAGGTGTGAGCCACCGCGCCCAGCCAGTAATCTACTTTTAAAAAAACTATATATGTATACTGAATATACAAGTGATAAGAAAGAGGAATAAAATCGGCCTTTATTCTGCTTGCTAAATGTCTACTATTCAAGTTTTAAGAATAACACACACTGGTAGCTATTGTTTCTATTCATTTCAGAGCTTCTAATTGCTGCTATGGGGTCTCAATGAGAAAGAAGGGAAGTGGGGAGGGGGCAATGAAAATGCATGAGATTTTCAGGAATGCCAACAATGTGAAGTTGGAATCCTACTCTAACTACTTTCATTCATTCTTCCAAAGGTGACAGTGGTCTGCTGTGTTCAAAATTAGCTGGAAGAGGACAAGCGGTTTTAAGGTAGCACAAGGGAAGGCAACTTAATACCTCCCTAAGGAGAAACCACATGGACTGTGCTGGTGGAGAGGATAATAATAGCAATAATAATAATTTAAAAAAAAAGAGTGTAGAGGTGGGGTGGCAAGGGTGGAGAAGGAGTTCTGATAACTTGGAATGAGGTGGGAGGAAGAGGTGGAGGTAACCTTTGCAGGTGTTCAAGGAGTATTTGTAAGGGATGCAAAAATAAGGACAACTGAAGCTGTGAGGCGGGATACAGGAACATATCCAGTGAGCTTCTAGGAATAATGGAGAGCACACATTGCATCATCAGGATCACTGAGACCCGAATCCTCTGGGGAAGTCATGTCTTTTTTGTACTAGATGTTTTGAAGCTTGAGCTGGGGCGGGGGGTGAGGCGGGGAGAGTGAAAGAGGAGGGGAAAATCACTGGGAAAAATTAAGCAGTCTGAAAGGAGGGTAAGATTATGAAGATAAATGTTTACATCTCTGCTGCTTTGTATCTCTTGAAATGAAACTGTTTTTGAATAGTGCAGCATCTGTACTGTAAGAACGTGGGCATTGTGAACAAATTGACTGCCTCAGATGATTTGACACATTTTGATTTCTGCTTAGGAAAATATCTGTTAATCCTATTAGATTGAGAAGGAGAGGGTCCTGAGCAGGAATGCAAAAGATCAAATCCTTCCCCATCTTGTGCACACTCTCCCAATGCCAAGGTATTAAAGTCTCAGCTATTTCCAAAGACCCGGTGCCTCATCCCTGACCTGCTTGGCATTATATCAAAATCCCTTCTTCTCCACCTTTCCATCCTTGCCTGGCACTAGCTAAAATCATGACAAAACTGGATGGCTGCCCTCTTTCTCTGGCAAGCTAAAGCAGAAAAGAGATCTTATTTTATGCTTTCCTCTTTATGTAATTTTGCTTCCTTTCTTCCATCCTTCTTCCTATTCTTTTCTTCCTTCTCTCTCTCCCTTTTTTTGTCTTCTTTATGTGGTTTGCTGTTTGCTAATATCCAACTCCAGACCATTCTTTGTGTTTGGCAAAGAAAGCAGTTTTATTGTTTGGTAACTCCAGGGGGGATATAGTGTCTATGATGTTGTCTAGGCCAAACCTCCCCCAGGAAGGTTAACTACCTCTACCCTACTCTCAAAAGGGAAAGGATGGCAACCACACACTTGAGCACCAGCCATTCTCTTTCGTGAGAAAGTGGATCTGTTCCTGCCCAGGAGTACTTTTTCTTTCCACAATGGTGTAACTCAATATTGCAATGCAATTAATTTACTGAGATCAGGACCAGTTATCTGGAATCTGAATCTATAGAGTGCACATTAGGAATAAGGGCAACAGAAGACAATTTTTTTTTTTTTTTTTTCCCTAACGACTTTCTGAGAAAAGGTTCTTCTTGGAGCGACACCCAAGTCTGATCAAAGGGTCTGTTCATCTGTCTCAAGAACCAACGCTGAAGCCCAGCATGGAGCTAAAAATATGCACTCACAGTCCTAGAAAATTGTATTCATTAAACTCTACCTACAGGTCCTCACCCAGAATCTGCTCTATGCCAAAGCAGCGTGCTGCTGTTAATCCTCCTTTATAGATTAGGCAGTAAAATAAAGAGGGTGGGGCTGAAATGCAGGGGAAGTCTGCACACGTGTTTGGAGAAGAAGAAAAGGAAAAGCACAGGGAATTCTTGTTCTCTCCTTCATGTTCCGAGTTGCCAGGGTTGTCCAGACACCACCGAGAGACACAGGGCTTTTTAGCATTCACTGTATTTTCACTTCCACCGGGTAAGTGCTACATGTAAAATGGGAATTTAGAGACAAGATCAAATAAATGCCTTTCAAACTGTGGCACACTGTTATTTTTGGATCCCATCCTTCTTTGTGTGTTAAGAAGGAAATAATAATAATCATAACTGACATTATTGAGCACTTACTATGTGCCAAGCACTGTGGTAAGTTGTTATTTACATAATCTCATTTCATTCTTCACGATCTCTGAGCTAGGTGCTTGTGTTGCCACCATTTTGTAGATGATGACATGACAGTTTAGAAAGGCAAAGTAACTTGAGCAAGTAAGTGGCAAAGCTGGGATTTGAACCCTAAGCTTCCAAAGTCTTGCTCATAACGTCTATGCCACAAATATGCCATCTCTAAATACTTCCCTTAAAAGTATGTTTTCTGGTTTTTATTTATGATTTTGGTGACTGCTCCTTAATAATCGTTCTACTATTATCTTAATCTTTACCATTTTCTGCAATCAAGTGATAGGATTCCTTGGAAGCTGGAAGTGTGTTCTTCCTCACCTTTGTATCCCCTGCAGCTCTTAAAGCAAAGTATCTTGCACAGAATAGGAGCTAAATAATTATGTGTTGAAATGCACTTTACATTATCTCTGTATCTAAATAAAACCCATCTAAACGAGTCCACTTCCCAAACATTGGGATTTTCCTCCTCTTTGTAGCGATCCCTTTCTTCTTGTTTTGCTTTCGAAAGGTTGATTTTGAACTGGAGGGACATTGCAGTTGTCTTGTCACTTAGCGGGATTTGAAAGTGAGAGTCTGTGTAGTGTTTTAGCCTGCCCTCAGCAATCAGGCCTCACACTCGCGAGGCTCTGATTGTAGGAGTTGCCTTATTTGCATTGATGAGGATGAGCCAGCTGCTAGAGCATACAGAACTGCACCTGACACAATCACGGAGTTCAGGATTAGCACGGGGAATCAGGAATCCACTGGGCTGGCTGCGTGGCAATCTCAGCCCTACATTAGAGTCACTCATGCAAAATGACCCAAATTTGCAATGAGCACAATTAGCAATCCAAAGATGCATGTTAATTTGGGGGCCTGATATTTTCTTACATTTCCCTAAATTAAAAATAATAAATACATTCTTTCCTAGACAAGTCTGGACATGAAAACAATTCAGGGGATTATGAGTTTGTAAAAAATGTGCAAACCCCAGAAAATGTGGTTTCTTTGGGTAACCAGCCACTGCCCACCCCCATCCCAAAAGTATTAAGTGTGGCATCAAATAGGGTAAGAGCTTTGTGGTATCATGCCCCTTTTTCAATCAGTGGAAAACAACTATTTACAAGGATAAAAATAATTATAGCTATAACAGGCAGAAAAGAAAAATTTAAGCATAAAAAAGGTTTTGATATTTTATATTATGTATTCATATTTCTGAGACTATGTTTGGATCACATATAACCACAGATATACTCAACTATTTCTGAATTTACTAAAAGTACAAGAGATTGTGTTGAATTTTTATTAAACAGAGTTTATAAATCAAATTGAACATTCTCCAACTCTGGGCTGTGTTTCCATATGTTTGCAATCTATAGGTATTGAAATGCTCACCTATACTTTAGGAAAAAAAAAAACCCCACAACATTTTGCAAAGATTGAATAAATGATCATTCGAAGCAAAAGCATGCAGTTCAAAAGCTAAACCTCCCATTGGAGAACAGAAAATTTAATGAGCTTTTAATGGAATGCAATGCTCAGAGTAGTAAATTATTTGTTAGTTGACGATGCAATCAGCATGCTGATTAAGGTTGCTTGGTTTTTTACTAAACATTAACTGAATGAAAACGGGTAGTCCTTGTTCTGCTTGGGGGGCTTTAAGGAAGCAAATGGACTTTCAGAACAGAGATTGTCAATAAAGGTGAGTGCACTCCAGGTGTCATTTGAATATGATGATAAAATACTAGTGATAAATATTTAAAAGCATTTTAAATCCACAATGTTCGCCTAGGGTATTATGGACTCTGTTTAAAGAAACAGTGGGCCTTAGCAGGCCTAACAACAATCCCTCTATCTCTCTCTAGAAAGAAATATCTAGATCTGCTTTCTTTTATTGCAAAAGAAAAAAGAGGGGTGGGTATGCTTTGAAAATATGAACCAGCATGGATGCAGAGACCAGGAACGATTGGGAGTTTGGAATGTAAACCTAAAAAGAGACAAAAAGGACAAAAATCAAAACAAAGAAAAAATATTCTGACAGCAAATAAAAGAGACATCTGTTTCTCTGGATAGATTAAGATAAAAATTTAATTAAGCAGTTTCAATATTCCAATGTTTAAAAATAATTGCTATTAGAATATATATATTGAAATTTATAAATGATGGCATTCTGAGGGCAAGAAATATTGTGATATTGCAATTATATTCTGTCTAATTTAGAGGGTCTGAAAAGGAACAAAGAAAAAGAACAAAACTTGGAAATACCTTATGTAATGCTTATTTTTGTTGTTAGATTGTTAATACAGAATTTATTTTAAAAATTATTTACTATATATTAATCGATATGTACATTAGTCATAAATTATTGATTTTGAGAGAGATTTTGTTACTATTTATACTGCCAGATTTATTTCTCTCCCAAAAGAGGGATTTTTTGTTTGTTTTTCTCCCTACCAATTGAAGAATTGTGGGTTTGTAGGTTAATTTTCTTTGAACAGCTACAAAGTTCTTTTTCTATAAATCCCAATTAGTTTCATTATCGGTGATTCTCTGGCAATGATCAGGTACCCTTAAAATCCGATAAATAACTACCTCTCACTTTTAACTATTCCTGTTTATGACCCAAGAGGTTAAAAGCCTTTGACTGGCATTTGACTTCTGACCTCATATAAATGTTATCTTATCAGTTCCTGCTTGTTAACTTGTATTGAGTGCTTGTCCCTGATGGCTTTTAGATAAAGGGTTGTGGGGGTTTTTCCTTTTTTTTCTTTTTAATATATTTCCTGTAGGAACTAAACCATTTGCTTTGTTCTTTGCCTAGTGCAGTCAAGTCTGCTCAGTAACCTGCTATAAATCTATTAGAAAGAGCCAAATATGCTTTTATTTATTTCCTACATTATTTTTAGTTTAGCTTTATGGGTGGAATTTTATGATAAAAATATATTTATTATAATTAATAGTAATAATTACTAGTGATCTTAATCTTTTAACCTGTTTGTCAGGAAACTGGTTAGCTTAGTATTTTCTCTTTTTAAAAAAATATTAACAATTTAAAAAATTTAGCTTTGCATTTTGCACCAGCATGAGATGAGTTAGAGAGATAATTTATGGAAATCTTGCCTCCCCAGACTTCAGAAGTCTGGCTAATGAGAGAGTCATCAGTAAGATATATCTTTTTTAAAACATCGAATCCAGACCATGAACTGTGCATTTTCTAACCTTTGGGGAGAAAGGTGGTGGCCTGGCGCCTTCCTTTGCCCTTCTGTCCTAAGAATTAAGAAGGATTTTGGTCTTTTATTCCATTTGCAGCTGTGTGTGTTGTTCACACATTCAAGTGTGTATGTGTGTGAGTCTAGTCACTATGTACAAACCTAAATACATTTGAATGTTTGCATTTTAATCCCTTTCCATACCTCGATGGCATCATGAGGGTATTCTAGGCAGATGTTGCTGCCTCAGAGGCTGCCTCATTTGCAAATGACCTACAATGTGATTTCTAAACAAAATATTACATTAATTTTCATGTGGAAAACAGGCAGTAAGGAGGGGGAAGAAGGAAGAGGCAGCCATCTTGGAGTCGTTTTGCCTTTTAGCCTCATTCTTTCGCCTCCTAAGGCTCGACAGTTAGAATATTATCTTTATTTTTAATTGGCCCTCAACATAAAGCAAGAGGCATATACAAGAGACCTTTGTATTCATGTTTAGAGTAGCAGAAAAGTTGTAACCTCTTTGGACTTTAAATAATAACTGCTACTATAGCCAAACTACAGCTATTATTCTCTAAACTTCTAAATAAATATACATATAAATGAAGCATATGCTACAGCTTGTAAGAGACCTGTACAAAACTTATTAAGGGAAACAAATGTCTATTTGGACCATTCATTTACTGCTATCTAAAGAATTAATATGTCAGTAAAGTTATCTGCCCTTCCTCCTCCCCATTCTTTCTTTTCTCCCCAAACACATACTCACATGCACGCACATAAACACACGCATTCAGACACCCCCACTATGGAGAAATGGCAACCCTGGAAACTTTTTTTAAAAGAGGAATTCCCTTTCTCTTAGATCATGGGTATTTAAGAAAGAGGGAGAGAGAGAGAAAAAAAAACAGCTTTTATGTTTTATTTTATTTTAATTTTCTGTGTGTGGAGAGCTGCTATGGCTCCATAATGTCCCAACCCTGCTTTCATCACGCTCATATTCTGGCAACACACAGGTTTAATGCAATTTGTCCTAACTTTTCATTTCAACCATTGCTTTTCTCAAAGTGGTCAGAGTTTAAAGACTGCAAAAGCAGAGGGAAAAGAAATACCACGGCAGGGGGAAAAAAACAAACCAACCCCCAAACTGGTGCTGGTATTCAGTGCATTGACACATTCTCAAATGTTTTCTCTGTAGTTATAACACAAAAGCGCTTTCTTCCCTGTTTTGATGTGTTAAAGACGGAAAGAGAGAGGACACTTCGAAGTGGTAAAATAAGTATTTGGAAAGCACAGGGAAAGTATTTCTCCTTTGAATGTCCAGAATGTGTCAATAATGTGTAGATACTCTACCATTTAATATTAATTAAATTTTGAAAGATGGAAAAGAGATGAAAAGTTAAATTTAGGCACATTGTCTCTCATGTGCTGAACTTTTAGCTATCAATGTTGCCTTCTGTTTTGCATAATTAGAAGTGCATCCAAAGCCAGTCACTTTACTGTGTGTAAAATAAGGATAACAAGGATGCTAAGTCTCCCCGAGAAGGGTGTGAGTGGATCAATAATACATTATTGTTTAATATTGACATTTGGCAGAAGAAACCATAAACTTTTACTCCTGTAATGTCAGTAATCTGAACTAATTTTCCTAGGCAATATTATTTGCAGATTGTTTTACTGAGTGAAACAAATAAGAATTTGAAAGACAAAGATGACCTGATTCTTAAACACTGGCTCCTAGTCTAAGGACCAAATTCTCTGAGTTGAATCCCAGAGTCCTTCACAATTGTACTGTCTACCCTGGCTTTTTAAAAAAGATTTTAAAAGGTAAGCTAGACGATTTCAAAACTGATGAAAGTTATGCCACCATTCTTATTTATATCTAATTCATGTTTTAATATATAGTCAGAAGTTTTAGTAGACCTAGAGTACAAAGAAGTGTTTACTTAAATCAGTTTCTAAACCAGTAGAAACTAACTTCCCCAGAATATTTTTGATGTAATCATTTTAAATCATTGTAATTAGAAGAACAATAAGATGACGAGAAACCAAGGCCCTCGGTTTTTCTGTATGGCTGTATCATCCAGCTTCATAAAGTTACTTAATGATGTATTTTAAAATATTGTTTATGTGAATGTAAACTTACCCTAATTATATACTAAGAAATGTAGTCCATTTGATTTTTTCCCATTCCTTGCCTCAAAAATAAAACCTGCTCTGTTTGGAAAAAGCTGAGACTTCTGTGATATCATGGACCTTTTTATATTTCAGCAAGGAAGTGGAGGTCATAGAGTCAAAAATATCAAAATTTTCAGGACCCAAGTTATTGCTGTAAGGTTTTATCCTTTCCTTTGTGAAGGCTGATGCAGATGGATTTCTAGTTTCCTTTCGTTTCTGTCCTCTTGTCTATGTGTTTTCTTTATTTGTATAAATTGCATTGTCCTTTCTATAAGAATGTTTGAGCACACTCTCCCTGATAGATTCTCATTCTCACTCCTCTCCGCTTGTTTGAGATTTAGAATGGGGGTGCTTTTCCTTATTTTAAAATCTTTGCAATTTTAACTCCGAGAGCCAAGACTGGTTTTCTATCCATCGGGACCTGCTCAAAGGTCACCCTCAAGATCATAAGCCATGTTCACATCCTTCTCATGGGAAAATGATAAAATAATATCCACAGGCATCTGATACTAGGGGCATGGCCTGGACACACACCTTGCCCTCTTCCCCTTGACCTCTCATCTGCCCTGAAGAATGAATACATCCATCCCCAAAGTTGATGCTTCGAAGTGACCAGTCAGATGCTAGCAGGTCAGCTGGCTATCCTCTTGGATAGAGGGTCCATAAATTAAAGAAATGTTGGTGTGGTTGAAAGAGGAAGGTAGTCCAGCCCAAGGGAAGCCACGTAAATCTCTCCTGGAGCTTTGTTCCCAGTAGGGAGTGGGGGTGAGAGTTGGGGTAGCTGGGGGCTGTGGGCTGTTATTAATGCCCTGGCCTCCTGCAGTGGGTGCTAACTTGTTGTGCATGAGAGCTGCCACCATCCTTCCCAAACATCGGGCGCTTGGAAAAGTCAAGCACAGTTGAGCCCTGATTTTCATTTAATAGTCAAAACCAAGATGCATTTGGGCTATGATGATAGGACAGCTCCCTTGAAAAGATTATTTGAACTACAAAGGCATTCATTTAGGGCTAGCAATGTTGCAAAAGGGCCCGCTAGAAATTAGCAGCCTGTCCTGGTATTTGGAGAGCAAGAGTGACAACTTATTGGAAGTTCTCAAGGAATCATTTATATTTCACACTCCACTAGGCAGCTGATTTGAGATTGTCTGTTAGCATAACAAAGGCTCTGAGCCTGTGAACTTCAGAAACCTTTCGACCTCTTAGCTGCTGGCATGAATAGCCCCCAGTCCTGCCTATAGAGATCTCCCAAAGCTCCCCTGTTCGTGGCTAAATTGTTAATCAGGGTAATTTAATATAGTTTTCAATATGCCTCATCTCT